GCCTGTCACGTTAACAAATTTTACTGTGCAGTTAATTGTCTCAAAAATTATTGCGATAAACGATAATATTGCCTGGTGACCATTTTACAACTAATAATTATAAAAGCGTAATATGTAAGTGNCTCAAAGAGATTGAGGTTCTGCAGATGTAATTCAGAACCCTCACAAATGTTTCCAGAAACTCTCTTATGAAAGCTGTCAGTCTCAACAATCGAGCTCAGGCTTACAGAGGAATGATGACATGATTTTCATGACTCATCTCTCTTAGTTTGACATGTTCTAAAGTTGCACTAAATGCAACTGAAGCTAATTCTTCATCTCATGTAATGCTTTCTACAGGAAATAGTTAGGTATGCATTATCTACTCGATGTTTTTTTCACTTTGATCAACATAAAACTGATGTCAAGTCTTTATTAAAGACTTCCTTTCCTCAAGGAGAAGATGTGTCACCCTGTTATATTTCACCCTGACTCTTCACACTTGCATCAGGCAGCACTTTTACTAAATGTAATTTATGAGTTGAAGTAAAATAAAGGATCCAAGCTGTTGTGTTTGTCTGATCAGTTTTCAGACTGCAGCCTTTCTTCTAAATCCCTCTGTTTCTGCATCGGCTCGCTCCTCCTCTTCATCTCCACTGTGACTCCCTCCATGAGTTTTCTTCCACTTGATCCACTTTTATCTTTTCTTCAACTCATGTCAGGATTTTAACTGTTGTCTCACAGGTCATTCTCAGAGAGTGTTAAGCTGAGAGCTTGAAATCAAGGAGGAACCCTTAAAAGTCTAATGTTGGATTTCTATGATTGATAGATGCCTAAAAGGGTTATCTATAAAACAGTGACACAAACAGTTTAATAGTGTTTTCGCTTTCTTATTTGGGTTCCTGTCTATAAAGAAATAAAGCATGTGGGCAACACTCTGATTGAAATGGTAAATATGATCCATATGGCTGAGAAGCTAAACAAACCAGAACACATGTTCATAAATTACAGCTCATGTTTATCTTGAAAATTAAACTGTCTAAACAACAGCTTGATAGCATTTAACTCAAAAGTTATCATGGACTTTAACAGTAGCTCTTCACCTGAGGGTCTGATGTTACTGCTGCCTTTCAATCATGAATTATTCAACAAGCCAATCACAACGATCAAAGGACCTAAAGGGTCTGATGGCCTGTGTTACGTTGAGAGTTTTTCTTTGTTGTAAAAGTCTTGAGAAGTTAATTATTCTCTTGTGTTTTTATTTATAGTTTACATTTTGGATACATAGCTTAAGTCATGACCACGTGGAGACTGAGGACATGAGGTAAAAAATGTCAACTAATAATAAATAATAAATAAATAATAAATTGTAATTTTATTTAACCCTTAGATTGCTTGAGTTACTGGACCCTACACTCTTCCGTAAGTGGGTCTTTTTTGACCCGTGTTAGAATCAATGTGTTTTTATGCTACATTTGTCATTTTACTTCAAAACAATGTTTTTTTTTCATATTTTCTACTGTTTTATTCCACACAAGAATTATTTCCTTGCAGCACATATCAGTTGCAAAATAATTAAAAAAACTATTGTGATTAACCCTTAGATGCATGAGTGACTATACCCTACACTCTTCCGTNACACTCTTCCGTAAGTGGGTCTTTTTTGACCCGTGTTAGAATCAATGTGTTTTTATGCTACATTTGTCATTTGTGTTAGAATCAATGTGTTTTTATGCTACATTTGTCATTTTACTTCAAAATAATGTTTTTTTTTTTCATATTTTCTACTGTTTTATTCCACACAAGAATTATTTCATATTTGAAATAGTTTTATTTTTCACTTTTTTAAACATTTTTAGAACATTTTTAAAAAACAATGAAATAACAATTTTACAACAGCAATGGAACAATGTCAACATCTATTATGTATGTGTGTAAAAGGTTGCCCTTTGTCACAGATTCTGTTCTTAACTTTTATGGACAGAATTTATAGGAGCAGCCAAGKTGTTGAGGGCTTCCGCTTTGGTGACCTYAGGATTGCATCTCTGCTTTATGCAGATGATGTGGTCCTACTGGCTTCATCAGATTGTGGTCTCCAGCTCTCACTGGAGTGGTTCATAGCCAAGTGTGAAACGAATGGGATGAGGATCAGTGCCTCCAAATCCGAGACCATGGTCTTGAGCCGGAAAAGGGTAGGGTGCCTTCTCCGGGTCGGGGAGGAGGTCCTGCCCCAAGTGGAGGAGTTTAAGTATCTCGGGGTCTTGTTCACGAATAAGGGAAGAATGGAGCCAGAGATCGACAGGCGGATTGGTGCTGCATCTGCAGTGATGCGGGCGCTGTACTGGTCTGTCCTGGTGAAGCCAGAGCTGAGCCAGAAGGCAAAGCTCTCGATTTACCGGTCGGTCTACGTTCCTACCCTCATCTATGGTCACGAGCTTTGGGTAGTGACGAAAAGAACAAGATCGCAAATACAGGTGGCCAAAATTTGTTGCAGTTATCTTAAATTTCAATGGGAAATTTTAACATATTTTAAAAAAGTGGGTAGGGACCGAAAGAACAAGATTGTGGATACAAGTGGCCGAAATTAGTTTCCTTCGTAGGGTGTCTGGGCTCTCCCTTAGAGATAGGGTGAGAAGCTCCGTCATCTGGAAGGGACTCAGAGTAGAGCCGCTGCTCCTCCATGTTGAGAGGAGCCAGTTGAGGTGGCTCGGGCAAGCACGTCCCATTTGGGAGGAGGCCCAGAGGACACGCTGGAGGAACTGTGTTTCATAGCTGGCCTGGGAACGCCTTGGGAGAGGAGACGGCCCAAGTGGCTGGGGAAAGAAAACTGTGTCTCTCTGCTTAGTCCCCATGAGCCGACCCCGGATAAGCGTTTGAAAATGGAACAGCCCCCACAAGAGTGAGATCCTTCTCCAGGAGAAACACAGACACAATACATACAATAATTTTCACTAGCTTGGTTAGATAGCTAGTGTTAGCTGACTTTGGAGTAGGCTAATATGTTGATTCATGACAATAACACTGTCACAGTAGTCATGATTGACACGCACGCACACATTTATGAGGTAAGAAATAAAGATAATGCTTATATGTAAGAGTTCTTGCTGTGTAAAATAATATTATTCAGGGCTGACACTTAGGACTCAGTGTGTATGGTCCACAAAATATGTATTCCTGACRGTCACAGTTGGTAAGAAAAAAAGATTCTCATTAATAAGTGTGGGTCATTTTTGACCCACTTACGGAAGCGTGGAGTAGTAATTGAAAAAAAAGCTATTTCTTAAAATACAGTATATAAAGGATAAAGTAAAATTTTTAATTGCATGAAATCAGTTACATGTTTGCTGAGGAATATCTGGAATATGAAATGATGAAAACTTTTCATTACAAAGATATTGCAAAAAAAAAAAGAAGACCTCACCGGGTCAAAAAAGACCCACTTACGCATCTAAGGGTTAAGGAGCTTAGCKCAAGATTGGAACAGAATTTTCTTTTTAAATGTCATCCACCTTGAGATCTGGAGTTATTCATTGGAGTACATTTGAAAATGTACTCCAGTGAATTAAATAATCAGTGGTGGGACAACTGCCATAGTGAGTGTGCAGCATTGAAGAGACTCGTTACAGACAAATTCCATCCATATTCAAATAATATGCATACCTGATGACAAAAGTCTGGTTTGAGAAAAAGAACAAAATGACAGAGTTGATTGCTATAAAATAGGAGTAGKAAAAATAAAAGTCACACTGAGACAAAAACAAGATGTTAAAATAGTCTCTGATCAAGGAGGTAATGACCATACAATGATTATAACACTGATCCTTCCAGTTCTTAAAATGACAATCTGTTTTTTGTTTCATCACTCATGTATAACTACAAATAAACAAATGTTTCCAAGTAACTGATTTGTTGATCATTTCAGTGTTTGGCCTTAAATTTAGTTTGAGAAAGAGTGAAATGGAAAGTTTCCAGAGCTTCAGACTCAATCACTTCAGCTGCTTTCCTGTCAGACATCCAGACTTGATGAGAATTTTCTGTCTTTGACCCTTCTGGACCCAACACGTGGCCACAATTTCAGTTTGCCCAAACTGCTGATCTCCAGCCTTACTGCTCCCCGACATCCCCTCCCTAACCCCTCTATCTCTTTTTTTCTTTACTTGCTTCCTATTTGTTAGGAGTTGGTAATGAGAACGGGCCTGGGGGATATTGTTCAGTTTATCTCCTCCAGCCCAACTCCTGCTGGTATCATGAACAGAAACCTGACTATCATTCAGAACTTTTTGCCAGACATTTTCTTTTATTAGATTTATTGTACCATGCGGCTGCTAAGGCAACAGCAGRCTATTTACAACAAAACTGAACATCGACTGCAGCCGAAATAGGAATTTCTGTGGAGGAAACCAAATTGTGCTTTGGATGAGGAAGTGTATTTCATCACCACCATGACACACAACCCRTGGCAGGGCCATTCCTTATCTTTACTTTAGAGAAACAATACAGATACAAAATTGTAGGTAATAAATTGGAAGACAGGAGCAAAAGTATAAAATGGTCTGTAGCTGTGGTGACCACAGGCCAGGTCACTGACATCAACTCCAATGGGAAGAGATGAGAGATTTGGCCCGGTAAATGTGAAAGAAAAATGTCRGATTATTTTTTCCTGTCAGGTGTWACTTTTCACAAAGGCTGACCTGTTTGAGGTCACAAACATTTTAAAGTATTCAACTCAAATTTTTAGTTTAACAAAGACTATTGTAATTGCAAAAGAAGGATATAGTGGTTGAAACAGAAATATTCCATCCTATTCTAATAATGAATCCAGGCTCATATCAGTGCCATTGTCAGTTTGTTACCCAATGTAATCGAAAATGGAACAATGCAGGTTTCCTACTCTGCTACTGAGTATTCTTACACTGTATTTTTTGATATTGGAACAAACAAAACCATTGTTTTCTTGAATCACAAAGGTTCCTCTCTGTGTATTTCCTCTGATCTGTCTGTTCTGTTCTTCCTCCATGCAGGGATCTCGATGCCAATTCCTGTACTGGGACTTAGAGACCACTCCAAGGTCTTCAAAGATGGCATCTGCCTACTGACAGATGCAAACTTTGTGCTGGTGGGCTCCTTTGTTGCATTCTTTGTTCCTCTGATCATCATGATTGTCACCTACTTCCTGACCATCAATGCCCTGCAGAATGAAGCCACGCTCTGCTTGGACCAGCTGGTTCCACGGCCCAAATGGAGCACCACGTTCACGCTGAGCTTCTTGTCACAAACCTCTGTGTCCTCTGAGAAACTCTTCAGGCGCTCCATAAGTCGAGAGGCTGGTGGCAGAGGAAGCTGCGGTGGCCTCGGTGGAGCCCGTGGTAGCGTTTCTGGTCCGTTGTTTGGCCGACGCACCATGCAGTCCATCAGCAATGAGCAGAAAGCATCTAAGGTGCTCGGAGTGGTGTTTTTTCTCTTTGTTGTCATGTGGTGCCCGTTTTTCATCACCAATGTACTGGTGGTGGTCTGTCACCAASCGCCATGTAACCCAGAGGTCATGGGAGATCTGCTGAACATTTTTGTCTGGGTTGGGTACTTATCCTCTGCTGTTAACCCACTGGTTTACACATTATTTAATAAAACATACCGTACAGCTTTCCTGCGCTACATACGCTGCCGGTATCAACCAGAGAAGAAACCACTTCAACTCATACTGGTAAACACCATCCCACCTCTGGCCTACAACTCCACGCATCTACCCCTGAGAGATGTTGAGAAGTTACGAAATGGAACAGTGTACTGTAATAAGGAGAGGAAGGAATTCTCTCTGCCAGCCAAGGAAACAGAGCAGTGTAGAAAGAGCAAAAACTACAGAGACAAAGATGAGAGCAGCGTGTAACACCCTGGTTAAAGGTAAATCCCATACAAGTCCTGGAACAGCTGACACCAACACAGCATCTATCCAGTCGCACTGTTCTTTGGAGCGAAAAATTTGAGATTTAAAGTTGATCCACCAAAGAGAAAGTCCCAACCTGTCCAGGTTTTAGACACACACCCTACAGTATATGCAGATCTATGACTTGTTAACAAGGAGCTGGGTAAAACCTTTCATCACTTTCCAGTTTATGCAGCAATAATGAAAATCAGTTCTTCTATTCTGAATTAAAATAAAAAAATCGTGATCCARTTTTCTAAAACATTCTGCCCCTCCCAAAATCTTGAAAAACAATTACACATGATTTTAGTCTTAGATTTAAAGAAAGGTGACGAAATACACAAAACCTATAACAACTAAAGGAAACATTAAGACACAAACTACCTTAAAATGATGTAAAAGACTTGTATGGTACTGTTTATTCAAATCTGATCAGTTATTTGTCCCTTTGGATGCTGTGAACCCCCAAACCCTTTCATTCTGCCAGATACTTGGCATCCTGCCTCCCATCTGTTTGCAGCTAKGGATGGATTAGTGGGGATTAGACTGGATTTAATCCCACTTTATCAGACAAAGGTGTCAGGAAGAGACAACCTGCCATACATTTTTTTAAACATTCAGAGGTCGACTCAAGCTGCCAAAAAGGGAAGATCAACTTAATTATTCCTGTTTTGTTGAAAATATGACTATGTTATGACTAAGGCTTAAAAGATTCTATTTTCAGGAGAGACAATAACTATTGCAGCTGATGTGAATGTTTTAATGTGATGTTTGAATATTGTAAAGTGGTCATACTGGCAGGAAACAGGACTTAAATGTTGTTTTTTGTAAAAGTCATTTTATACTGTGTTCCTGACAAACTCTCAGTGCTCCATGTCACAGTTGTTTCAGTCTTTACACATTGTGTCCAGTGCTCTTGTGGGTGCTTTACCGTGTGTTTAAATGTTAGTTTAAAACCTGTGGAGCTGCTGGGAGAGAGTAAACAGAGACAATCAATAACACAAAACTCAATTCAATAAACAGACATAATTTATTTTTTATATTTATTAAATTGTGATAAGGCTGATAGTAATACAGAGAAATTATTAAAGCTGATYGAAATCAGGCCGATTTATAAATACACCACCACCACCCCTCCAATGTCAAACTTTTGTTTTTAGTTGACTTTTAAATGACTCTAATGCAGGGAGGAAAGACTGAAGCACAGCAGAGATGGAGGGTCAGAAAGCTGCAGATTATATATTTTTCTGATTATCAGCATTTAAAAAAAGTTTAAAATAAAAAAAACTGTTTTATATTACTGAACAAACTGAGACTGTTTTTATTTGTTGACTGTTCAAACTTTGTTCTTTAAACCACAGAATTGATTGTGCTTGATCAGCATCTTCTTTGCGTTTGTGRCCCCTTAATCATCAACATGTGGGACCACATCACAAGAAAATAAGTACAGGGTTATAAAGAACACTGAAGTCTGTGAATTCTCTCTGCAGGAAGCTTGAGAGGTACAGAATGTGAATTTATGTTAGTACTACACTACGTTTTGACCACAGGGACAAATTATCAACTGGTACTCAGTCAATACACTCAGGAGTCCAAGACCACCTTCATGATCCACTTAGAAAACTGTTAGCACCAAAAACAAAACTATAAATTTAAACTTGTTTAATCTGAAAGCCTCATAGATTCACAATACGTTCACAAAATAAAGAAGACTGAGATGATATTTCATGAATTATAAAACAAAATTGTCAATGTTAAAGTGGAAGATAAAAAGTTTAATATGTTGTCTTTCACAAATCAGTTATAGGCAATCATTTAGAGAAGTGATGGTTCAAGCCACAAAGATTTTTGTAAAAACSGTGTTGAAATTTTTTACTATAAATGCAACAAACAGTGAACATTGTGGATCATTAGTTTTGTAATAAATCTTCACATTAAAACCTAAAGGTGTATGGATAAATGTAAATTTAAAGAGAAAGTCAAAGTTTGACTTTTGAAGACTGCCAAAAGTATGATGTATGTTGATTATCTACCATCACTAGCACTCTGGGATGTTTGTATGTCACAAACAACACAGCTCCTCCTAAACAACAACAGCGGAGTTTAGCAGGTGCCTGCTTAAAGTTCAGTAACATTAGGTAGTTCAGCATTTTCAGCAAATAGGTTAGTTCAAATCTGGTGAAAAGGAAACAGAAAAGTTTTTTTTTTTTCATATTTTACAGAGAAACTCCAAGTTGTGAATTTGCTCTCACTAACATTTTAAATGCTACAAACAAGATGGAAGATCCACTGACTGTATCACATTCTAAGACATGGTTTGCAAAAATTGATTCCCATTTTTACAAAGATATTTTTGTTGTTGTTGTTTTTGCATCAATTAGTGAAGTCACTGATATAAAATATGGACCATTCTCTGGAAACTAACAGACCAGTCTGGGTTTACATCAAGCTGGACCCACTGATAATGCAGCTCATTTCTTTGTAGTTCTGTTGCAGTGAAGTGAAGTCCATTGAGACCTTTCTGCTGATGTAACTCTGAAGTCACAATGTAACTCTGGTTTGGAAGAGTTTGGTTTATTTTATTTTATTTTAAAGTAGTGTCTTTTGGAGTTGGATATTGATGGTGACAGTCACTTTTTTGTCAAGTATAAGAATATGTTTTTCGCCTTCCTGTTTTGAGATCAAAGTAAAGAGTAAAAAAAAATCTGGAAAATGCGTGAAAGTTTTTTTTTTTTTTGTAATACAGCAATTGAACATTTACACATCTATTGTTTACAACCCTTTGTTTGAGAGTGGATCCAGGAAAATAAAAATAAATCTAGAGATCTTACAAGAGATGCAAGGGTAAATGTAACTGTCAAAATATAGGTCTGGTGCACAGTCAGACAAAACTACATTAGTGACAGGTGATCACCACTGCTATTACCTATTTTTCTACTGCCATGATGGAAAAACAGCAAAGCATGAATGTCAGATTCAGAAACACCAAAACTGGATAACTTACCAGCACTGTTTAAAGTTCATCTGAGCTAAAAACTACATACAGTAATAGGTTGTGATTTTCTATTTTTTATTGTGTAGTTTTGACAAATCTGTACACGATCTCTTTTATTAAAGGCTAATCACTTTAAGGGTGGATTGTTTTCAAACTTGCATTTAGACTTTAAGCAGTATTTTTTTAACTGTTCACATACAGTTTWAAGCATCAAATGCAGTTTAGAATTAGAAGGAAGTGAAACACCTACATATTGCCATACGCTGTAGGAAAATAGACAYTTTTGTGATGAATAAAATGTTCATAATTTGGACAAAGAAGTCAGATTGACAGAGAGTGTGAAGAAGCTGTTTATGTCTGTCTATTTTTAATCTATCCTCTACCACTTGTATCTGTGGTCAGGTTGTGGAGGCAACAGGTCCAAAAGAAACCCAAACAGACTTCTCCCCAGCAACACTTTCCAGCTCCTCCGGGGGGACCCTAAGGCAATCATAGGTCATAAATAACATTTAGTTCCGTCTTTTGTCAAGGTGGGGAAAAATCAAAGTTGACGCTCTGGTCCTGTGCAACAAAAGGAGTCAGCTGAGGTGGCAATGTATCTGATCAGGTTGGTTCTTCCTGGAAGTTTTTCAGGTATTTTATACTAAGACTGGGCATAGAGGCAAATCCAGAACTTGCCAAAGGAACAACATATCCCATTATGGGCTAGGAACACATTGGAACCAGCCAAGAGCCTGGAGAGGGTCAATGGGGAAATGAATTGTCCGGCTATTCTTTTAGACCTGTTGCCTCAACAACCTGACCATGAATAACMGAACTTTATTTTATTTATAAAGCCCTTAAAAAAACATGAAATTATTAGTGAAAAATGTTTGAGTACTGCAAACAATTGCAGTGACAGAACATGATGATGCCATCTTTGTGGTCCAGGAAGTAGTGCTGACARAAGTATAAGCTTTTGCAACCTTCAGGTGAAAATGAAGACCCCAAACCCAGACCCAAACCAGTGGTTATTCCGTATGTTGCGGGTGTTTCGGAGAAAAAGAGATGTTTATTTTCTAAACATGATGTCCCAGTGGCTTTAAACCCCAAAACACATTATGGCAAAGGCTGGTTCACCCCAAAGATCCGGTGCCCCGGCACAAACAGAGCAATGTTGTATATGCTGTTAAGTGCCAGGAGGAC